TCGCGCTGCAGCGGGCCTCGAATGAGCTGCTCATCAGGGGCATTGTGCAGCTTAGCTCCGTTTTTCATGGCCATGTAGAAGATCGAAGCACCCGTCGCCATCTCGGCGATGGAGCGCGCCGGCCAGATCTGGGCGCGCAGCGACGGCTCGTTCGAGCGCGAGGAGGAGACAGGATGTGGCGTGCGTGGCGCCGTGTACATGCGCTTGAGCATGTGCCGCAGGACTGGTAAACAGATCTGCCACTTGCTCGACGCTATGGGCCGATTGCGCAAAATCCTGTGTAGGTCCTCGTTCGGCTCTGAGCTGCTCGCAGCCTGCGGAGCAGCAGACGGCTTACGGGCGTGCATCCTGGCGCTCCACGAGATGGTGCACGGGCCCGCCTCAGCAGATGAGATCAGGGGGCTGAGGGGGCAGGGAGGTCACGCTGTGTCGGCCGAGCTGGTCGTGGACGGTCTTTCCGTCTTCTCCGCCCCCGCCGTGGACAGCGCGCGGCCGCCATCGGATAATAGTATGGCAGGCCACCTATTGTGGCTAGGCAGTTATCAGACATGCTGTGGCGCGACATCCGCGACGTCATGCCGACCCCGGGGAAGTATCGGGCGGGTGTCGCATGTCTGAGCTGTGTTCGAAGATGTGCCGACCGACCCGTGCATCGCGAATTGCGTTCGCGAGTGCGACGCAGTGCAACGAGGGGAGGAGTGCATGGGCATCCGCGTGTCGCAGCTCTGTTCGCGAAGGCGTCGTCGTGAGTTACGCCAGCGGGGAGCTGTAATCATGAACTGTGTTCGTGGAACAGCAGACCGTCGAACGTTGAGCACGTGAATGATATATTCTGTGCTTCGCCAGTGCTCCACTGCAGGCCCGTCTGTTCAGTCGTGACAATTATATGTATGAGTGAATAACAGGAGCCTGGTCAATAGAAGGCCCCCAGTCTTTGTAATTTTCTATGCGGAGCCTGGTCAGTGGCAGGTCCCCAGGCACTGTGATTTTTATATAAGAGGGGTGGTTAGTGGAGCCCCTTCCTCCGCGCGATGCACGTGGGAGAGTGATCTTTGTGGTCCCACTTGGCCCGGCCTGACGAACGTTATCTGCCCTGTCCAGTGCTGTAACTATTTTGTGTTGGTGATATGTTGTGGCTTGTTGGTGGTCTGGGCGGCTTGCGCCCGGACTTCAGCGAGGCGAGGCGGACCCGCTTGAGCACCAGACTCGAACGGCCGGTCGCCTCTTCATTGGGCACGTCAGCAGGGTAGCATTGGATCCGTTGCCGTTTTCAGGGATCCCTTCTCGCCCCCGTTCTGCGGTATACAAGCCGCTATACAACGCTTGTCAGTGAAAACGAACCTTCTGTTCATCGTTCTGCGTCTTAGTCCATCCACCCGTCCCGAGGCACGGCCTCCGCCAGCGTAGCCCACTTGGCAAGCCTTTGGCCGTCCCGTGGCCTTTCCTTCTCCCCTTGCTATTGTGTTGTTTATCCTTTTTCCTTCTCGCCGCCCTCTTCGGCTGGCTCCTTCCCCTCTTCATGTCTTGCCTACCCTTTGTGTCTGTGTGTGTGCTTGTTTGTGTGTGTGTGTGTGTGTTTGTGGTGTCTATTTTCTTCCCTTCGGTTTTCCCTCCGACGTCGGTTGGCTCGTGTTCTTCGCGTCCGTCCGTCTTCCCCTTTGGCTGTCCTCTGTCGCTCCTCGCTCTTCGCTCCCCGCTCTTCGCTCCCCACTTTCTTTGCCTGGCCCTTGTTCTGTTGTTGTGCTGGCCCCTGGCTGGCCGACTTGGCCGCTGCCTTGCTGCGCGCCGCCTCGGCCGCGAACCACCCCGTGAGGGGCCGACCTCGCATTGACGCTATGGCGCTGCGCTAGGCCGGGGATGTGTGTGTGTGCCCCAGAAGCAATTTCCTTCCCGCGACCTTTCGCGCCCCGAGGGGAGGAAAGCCAGGCGGTAACGTCCCGTGGCATTTTGCCACCCCGCTCTCGTCTCGCTGTTGGCCATCGCCTGGCGTCTTGGTCGGTCGGTGTTCCCCTTCTTCCTCCGTCGTGTTCGCGCTGCGCCCCCCTTGTGGGGCGTCCCTCTGGGCGGCGGTCAGTGCGCTTCCCCTTTACCCCCGCCATCTTTGCCCGGATGGCAATGCACTGCTTCCTCTGAGCCGGCGCGCGAGGGCACCGGCCTTGGTTTCCGCGACCGCCAACAAAAGTGTGTGTGTGTGTGTGTGTGTGTTTGTGTGTGTGTTTGTGTGTGTGTGTGTGTGTGTGTGTGTCTGTGTCACGACCTTGCGGGCAGTCCGTGGCCTCGGGTGACCCGTGAAAGCCCAGAGCGCATTGCAGACCATCAGGGTCTGACCCAAAGGACCTACACTGGTCCCTCGTCCTCCGTCGCCATGTCGAGGTCAGGGTTGTCCTCTGCACCAGCGGGCTGCGCCGTGGCTGCCTCCTCCTCGGCCGGCGGTGAGTTTTTGGCTGATCGAGGCGCTGCCAGCGGCACGGCGTCGCCCATATCTGTTGTAGGTGCTGCAGCAGCTGTTGCCACGCCCTTTTGCTGTGCCAGGTTGCGGGTCTTGCCGACTGTGGCCTCGAGTTCAACGCGCAGAACATTCCCAGCACCAGCGCCCAGCACGTCCAGACGCTGCCCAAGCTGCGCCACCACGAGACCGAACGACGAGCCAGGCGTACCGAACGCAGCTGCAGCCCTGCAGGGGCTGTGGCGCCCGCGACCGCAGCAGCTCCACGCACGCCTGCGATAGCTCCCTGAGCGCAATCTCCTTGGCGGCCTGCGCGGTCGTGAACGTGTCGATGTTCTTCTGCAGCTCCGCCGGGTGCCGCTCCTTGACGCCTAGGGCGGCCGTCGCCTCGGTGACCGCGCTGGTGGCCTCGCTGCATCTGCTCCCTAGCTTCCACAGCTGCACGCACGGCGGCTTCGCTTGCCGAGCTTCTGCCCGGGAGCCTGTCACGCTCCGCCGTGAGCCGCTGGACGCCGGGGGCGACCTCAGGAACGCACGCGAGGAGGAGGGGGAGAAGAATAATAATCATAATATTAATAATATTAATAATAATAATCATCATAATAATAATAGTAAAAATACTAATAATGATAGTAATACTAATAATAATACTAATATTAATACTAATACTAGTACTAATACTAATACTAATACTAATACTAATACTAATACTAATATTATTAATAATAATAATAGTATTAATAATAATAATAACAATAATAAGATTCATAATAATACTAACAATAATAATAGTAGTAATAATATTATTAATAATAATAATACTAATACTAATAATACTAATAATACTAGTAATAATAATACGAATAATAATACTACTAATAATAATATTAATAATAATACTAATAATAATAGTATTAATAATAATATAATAATAATAATAATAATAATAATAATAATAATAATAATAATATAATAATAATAATAATAATAATAATAAATAATAATAATAATAATAATAATAATAATAATAATAATAATAATAATAATAATAATAATAATAATAATAATAATAATCATAATCATAAGAGAAGACGAATAACAAGAAGAAGGAGGAGGAGGGGGGGGGGAGGAGGAGGAGGAGGAGGGAGGAGGAGGAGGAGGAGGAAAAGGAGCCTGTCACGCTCCGTCGTGAGCCGCTGGACGCTGGCGGGGGCCCCAGGGACGCTCGTGAGCTCGCGACGGGCCAGCGAGCTGCGCCCGCCGAGCCTGCTCGGCGGAGGGAGGCGCCGCTGCAGGAGGCGCAGCGGGGACCGCGGCTGCCGACGCACTGCCTGCCGCTCTGGACTCGGAGGCGGCTGCAGGTGGCTCCGTGTGGGTGAGCTTGAGCTCGAGGTCAGCGAGCTGCAGGAGGGGATGCAAAGACACCACTTGGTTGGCCGCGGACCAGCGGTATCCACTCGGTTCACTCGAGAACTATGCATCTCGAGCCCAAACTGCTACGGATATGGTGTGTGTGTGTGTGTGTGTGTGTGTGTGCGTGCGTGCGTGCGTGCGTGCGTGCGTGCGTGCGTGCGTGCGTGCGTGCGTGCGTGCGTGCGTGCGTGCGTGTGTGTGTGTGTGTGTGTGTGTGTGTGTGTGTGGGTGTGTGTCTTCGAGTGCCCCTGATGCGTGAGCTGGGCCAGTCCGTGCGCCTCCTCGACCTTTGCCCGACTTCGCCGCGCCGCTGCGCGCGTGGCCGCGACGCCAACACGTGCGTGCTCGAGCTTCCTGGCAGCCGGCGCCCCGCCAGGTCAGCAGGACCTCGGCCTTCCACCAGGTCCTCCTCGTGCGGGAGCTCTGCCAGGGGGCCGCCGCCGTGCTCTTCGCGGCGTCGGGCCTGGTCCGCTGGCGCGTCACCGGGGAGAGCCACGGAGGCGTTGGCCCGCGCGGATCCGATCGATTCGATGCGATCGAGGAAGACGTATCGGCACCGACACGAGCTTTCGGAGGTCCGCGCGGATCTTTTGGATCGGCGCGGGCCTCCGATAGTGTCGGCCTGTGCAGCTTTTTGCTCGTCCACTCGGTGTCGATTCCGGCGGGATCGACCCGACTCGATTCCGACGTTCTCAGCGGCCCGATGCGTCCCGATGCTCGCGTGGCGCTGCCCTGCAGCCTGGCGCGGCCGATCCGGCTCGATTCCGACTCCGCGCCGGTGCGGCCCGATTCGATGCACACTCCGATCCGATCCGATTTCCTAGATCGAGGGGGGGGAAATGAGAAGGAGAAGGCCTTGTCAGAAGGCGGCGGGACTTCTCAGAAGCCCTCGCGCTTTCTGAGAGGTTCTCTCTGTCTTCGGGGGAGGCTTAGAGACTTCTCAGAAGGCCGGGGACTTCCGAGCCTTCTGAGAAGGCCCGCCCTTTATAACTTCCCCCTCGGACGCGCCGCCGAGTAGACTGTTCCTGCAGAGGCTATGTCCTCCCCGTTATCGTCGGCGTCATTGCGGCTTTGAGGATAGTCATCACCCTGGTGTTGAGGCCGTACCTTCTCGCCTGGTACTCGCAGTACGGCGAGTGGAGCGACGTATCTGCTCGGGATGTTCAGCGCGCAGGCGCTTTCTTTTCGTGTGTGCGTGTGCAGGGGTTGGGCCGGGGGGGGAGGGGCTCCTATGCCTTCTGCAGGGAGGGGGAGAGGGGGGTGCCATTCGCTGGTTCTTTTGTGGAACGGCCTTACGTGGCAGCCTTTCTTCTCGCAGCCTCACCCCTTTGCTTGTTTCGCTGCGCTCTCCTCTCGCAAGGGTCACCTTTGCCAGCCTACTTTCAGTGTCTAGCATCCCTGCTGCGTTTCCTGGCAGAGGGTGCTGCCGCTGGGAAGAATACGGAAAGCCAGGAGAGTGCAGTGGGCAGCATGTCTAGTCGTCGGGCCTGCAAGAGTGCCCCCTGCGTTTTCTGGTCGAGCCTGTCCGAGTGTCGTCCAGGTGGTCAGGGGCAGCCGCGCTCGTACGAGCGAGGCTCGTCGAAGTGGCCGAGCCATGATTCCGACGAGGCCGAGAGAGTGAGTAAGAGAGAGAGAGAAAGTTAAACGTATCAGCTGCTCACCGAATGTAGGCTTGGTGCATGCCAGATGGAGCGCTCCTCTCATTCGACTGATCGAGAGGTTGACATCTCTTTCTTGGCGGAAGGCGTCGGCAGGGTGCCAGAAGTCGGCGGACGCAAAACGAGGGCGGCTTCGTTGGCGGAAGCTGGCGGAAGTCAACCATCGGCCTCGCAAGAGGTGCGTGATATTTTTTTGGTCAGGGTTTCTAGAGCAAGCCAGATGTATACGGCGTTCTCGGTGCCAGTGCAGACTTAGAGTGAGCCAACACTGCGGTCGCCTAAGCGGTGAGTGGCGTGGCGTTGTCCCAGGGCCGAGCATGATGTAGGCTGCAGCTTGTCCGTGTAGACCCCAGGCCGCAGCGGCCCCAGGCGGACGGCGCAGGACAGCGCGGCCGATTGCGCCGACCTTGGCGCGCGAGCTGACCGCGTGAGGTCTGCGCAGGCGCCACTCGCTGCCACTGTGCCGCGCCAGTGGTCCGCGTGGGCCACGGCATGAGGGCGCCGCGGCGTCAGGCGCAGGGCCCGCCTGTTCTTGGTTGCCCGCTCGGAGGGAGGCGCGCCCTCGCGAGGCAGCCACGAGGCTGGGCTCACCCGACGTGCCTGGCCCGGGCGAGACCGGGAAACACGCGTGGCCACACGTCCTTCCCGCGCTCGGGCCCTTCAGTGTATCCAGTGCGCGGCCGTCGTCGTCGTGGTCGTCGTCGTCGTCGTCGTCGTCGTCGTCGTCGTCGTCGTCGTCGTCGTGGTCGTCGTCGTCGTCGTCGTCGTCGTCGTCGTGGTTGTCGTCGTGGTCGTCGTCGTCGTCGTCGTCGTCGTCATCGTCGTCGTCGTGGTAGTCGGGGTCATCGTCGTCGTCGTGGTCGTCGTTGTCGTCGTGGTCGCGGTCGTGGTCGTGGTCGTCGTCGTCGTCGTCGTCGTCGTCGTGGTCGTCGAAGTCGTCATGGTCCAGCCGTGCGCGCGCGTGTGTGTGTGTGTGTGTGTGTGTGTTGTTCCAGCTTCGTGGAGCTTTTCCGCCCCTGGTCTTCCGAGGACCTCAGTGTCTCCACAGCTGGACCTCTTGATGCCTCGCCACGACACCTGGAGCCTCGAAGGAGCCTGGCTCGCTGTCCCAGGCCTTGCTCTCGGGTGGCCGGCGATCCAATCTCTTGGGGAGCTGCTCTCGGAATTGAATGCTTCTGGCGCAGCGCCGTCGGTCCGCAGTGGCCTTCGGAGACGGGGCTGCTGGCACGAGACTCGTCTGCAATTCCTCGGACATTGCATTCGGCGTGGGCGCTGGTGTATCAGTGCGTATATCTGTGATCGAAGACCAGTCTTACACTGGCGCAGTCCAGCTTAGTCCAGCTTAATCCCGCTTCTCCAGGCTAGATCTTCCTGCGTAAGATGGCTCGATGGCCCTTCAGTTGGGCTTAATAACATCTAATCGTTCCTGAAGACCTCCCAGGAGTTTCCTCCCAAGTACAAGGTCTGCCAATCAAGTGCCAGTCGCAACTGTAATTTATGCACACGTCATCTCAACAGACGCAGCAGAGCGATACTCGGTCTGCAGTGATGGTATGACCCGCTGAAGCGAAGCTCCGACCAAGCCAGAGTTGATGTCAACGCTACTCCCGGCTCAGGTTTTTCCAAAACATCAATGGGGCGAGTCCACGTTCTTCGGCAGCAGCGAGGAAGGCAACGATGGCGACGGCGTTGACGGCGATGATGGCGATGGCGACGGCAAAAGCGACGGCGATGGCGAGGACGGGAACGAGGCATCCGACGCCGATGGGATAACAGCATTTTTTGTCCGGAGGGCCAGTGCCCTTGTCGTTCGTTCGCTCGCTCGCGAGAGAGAGAGGGAGAGAGACAGAGAGAGAGAAATTGAACGAGAAAGAGAGTGAGAGTGAGAGTGAGAGTGAGAGTGAGAGTGAGAGAGAGAAAGCGAGAGCGGGGGGGGGGTAGCCCGAGGGAATGCGACGCATGCACTCTTCTTTGGTTTCCGACGGCAACCTCGATGTGGAAGGCAAGACACAGCGATCAAACAGACGCGCTCCCCAGTGCAAGTTCGAGGCATAGCCACCAAGTCCCTCATCCTGGCGTGCCGCAGTGTCATTGTCAACGAGGGCGAGAGCATCGCGGCTCGGGAGGCTGCCCTGCGGAGCCTCTCGCTCTTCTTCGACCAGGAGCTGAGCAGCGACGAGATCTCGCTCATCCGCGAGGCGGCCCTCTCTCCCGAGGTGGTCCGAGAAGAGCAGCTCATGCAAGTGCACCCAGGCCTGATCAAGTCGCTCGGGATGGAGAGCCTCGTGGCAGTCGCACAGCGCCTCCAGCATTGTATTGCGCAGGGGGACGCCGCGGCGATCGAGAACGCACTGAACGTGGACCTGCACCGCACCGGCGTGTTTGCCGGGAACTCGCGGCTGAAGCTGGTGGAGCTCAAGGATGGCGTGAAGCACTATTCCGACCAGAATTTCGAATTGAGGAAGGTGCCAAGCGATCTCGAGGGAGCAATGATAGCGGTCGGCCCCATGGACGCCGCTGGCATTGACTTCCGCGTAGTGGCAGCCCACGAGACCGTTGGCGTCATGATTGCCCACGCGGCGAAGCGCGACTGCTACGCCGGGGTGAAGGAAATCCTGAAGCAGCTCGACACCCTTGGCTTCGCCAG